ATAAAAATTGAATTAAGAAATTTACATTATTATTAACTTTATTCATGTTAATTTGCTAGATAATTTACTAAAAAATATAATAATAATATAGAAGAGAAAATAAAGAAAATTTTTAAAAATTTAACCATGTAAATTGAAATTTTAATAGTATTCAATTGATATAGTAAGTAAACCATAGTTAGTGTTTATTAATTTTTTAATACAAGAGAAAAAGGGAGGGAATTTTTTATTTATACGGAATAAATATTTCGAAATTTCACAGTGAACGTTCTTTCGCATTAGAAAATTGCATTATTAAATCAACTGTACTGGGCTGTACTAGCTATACCGAAAATTCTTTTATAACTTCTTTAAAAATTTAAAATGTTAGACCCCATTTATGTAGAATATAAAAAAGAACCCCGTCTTCTATTTTTAATTCTCTGTTTAAAATGCAATACATATACCTATAGCCACAAGGCTTCCGTACTATTATTGCTTAACATATTAATCACCAATTATCTGATTATTATTACAATCATTCTTCGTACAGATTATATGACTTGAGATATGTCATTTCTCTTGTGAATTAAGAAAAATTAATGTTAAATTATGTAGACGCTTATATTTAATATTGCGGCGGTTACTATGTTAAAAACTTTTCTTCTATTAACTTACTATGGTGATTATTCCTCTTTTAATATATCTTTAGAGTCACCATTGTTCTATTGGTTTTTTCTGTTGTACAATTTTAATTTTTAAAAATTTTTATAAAAGTAATTTGTATCTTAAAAGAAATTCTGGTAATCATTTTATTTCCTTTAAAGAATAGAAATGGAAAGAATAAAATATTAAAGAGAGACGACTTGAAAATTTCAATATAGCAGATTGAGAATTTTATACACGTAAAGATAGAAAATTGAGAATATACGTCAAGAGTTTATGTAATAGGTGTTTTAATATTGTATTTAATTATATTTTAAAGCTATATAAAGAGAATGCTGAAATGTCGAAGCTGCTTACTTTAAATAGTTGCACTATATAAAATGTGTTCGGATAAAATTTCAAAGACAATTTTTCAAAAGTGAATTAATGAACTTTCAACGATTCATGAGTAGCAGCATTTTATTAAAATGGTCACTCTAATTTTAACTGACTTATTTTACAAAAATCAATTTCAACCAAAATAAAATCTCTTTTTGTTTACAATGAAGAATAACATGTGATATTGAATGTAAATTGCTTTAAAGGTATAAAATTGTGAAACAATGAAAACAATACCACCCGAAATTAAAAGAGAGGAAATAAAATTAAAATGGAAAAAAATCACAAGAACAAACAAAAAAATTAATGTAAAAGAGTATAGAAAGTCAAAATGAATACAGAAAAATTTGTCATATTTCCTCAATGGAAACCGAAAATAATGGAACGAAATATATGCAATTCTTATAGTTCGGTATGTGTACGTGTATTGCAATCTGTACTTTTTTTATAAAACAATAGAAATCGAGTCAGCAATACTTTTTTCCTTTTCTGTCCCTTTATAAATTTTTTTTTTTTGCACGGCAGTAACGTGATATAAAAATGTTTTATAAAATTAGTCCAACATGTTTTTTTGTAATCAATCAAATTTGAACCAAATTATCACACATATATGTACATATTTATAATTTTACAGAAAAATTTTTACGATTTCTTGAAAATATGAGAAATTTGTTTCGCATGCTTCCTATGTTTTTGGTTTTCATCATTTAGAAATGGAATTGCAATATAACAATAGCTGTGAAAATGAAAATTTTTGGAAATTCACTTATATTTTGTGATTGTCATGTGATTTATATAAAGCTTTCTTTAAATATATTATATACATATAATACTTGTTTCCGGTAGCATTCAAAATTCCATCATATGACTCTAGAATTCTCTCTACAATATCTATATTTTTAAATATAATAAAATAAATTTAATAAATTTATATTAAATTGGTTTTAAAGTGCACAAATTATGTAAACGAAAGCTTGTATACGTAGGGCACTATATAAAATGTTTAATATCCCTTTTATTTAATATTAATTCCCTTGTATCCCAGAAGTAATAACACGAGAAAATATCGCAGAGAAATTTTTAGAGAAAATTTTTAATAAACCAATAAATACATTTGATCTTCATAAGATTGAATTAAATAAAGAGAACACAGTTTAGCATTGGTTGCGTTTATGATTGATGGTTATGTTATAATAGATAAGTTGAACAAACAGGCAGCTGTAGTTTGAAATTGATTACTCTGAGGGTCAATTTTAGAAAAGAAAATTACAATAATAAAATTATTCGAATATGTAACATAAACTTTACAACATTTCGACTGCGTGTTGTTCATTAGGAGCTACCCTTGCTCGAATCGGGCATGTATTTTGATAGAATATTACACGGTTTTCAATAGTTCTATCCCATTCTAACTACAAATTTCACATATGATATTATGTGGAAAAGGGTCCAAGTTGTCATTTCATTCATTCATTTAATGTAGCGTAATATTTTCACATGAAATTACACAATTCATTTTGATATGAGTCATTATTAATGACTTATGTTCCAATTATCTCGAAAAGTAATGTATAATTTTATTAAATCAAAAGTTTTATGAAAAAATATTTTTTTTACTCGCCTTTTTTACATTTTACGTTGCAATAATGAGTTTTTATTGTTTTCGCTTAAATTTTTTTATTATTGGCAATTTTTCATTAATTTTATAATTTTTTTGTAGTCTGAAAATTGAGTCCATATTGATTTCATTTTGAAAATATTATTTTTATTTAAGGACAACTTATTTTTACCATCAATGAAATTTTGTACGTTGGCTGATGTATATGCGTTCTGTTTTGTCATCTTGAATAAGTCCTTGGGTATTAAAATGTGTATATGCATACAATATAACAATATTTTGAAATTGTCTCGATTTTTGGAGGTTTCAATTAAATTTTCTCAATTTAACAGGAAATATTTGATTTTTTTTTTGATATTTTAGTTCTAGTAAAGACCTTTAATTAAACAAAATTAAATTATTAGATTAATGATATAAATAGCAAAAAAAATATACACATATATACATTTATAAATTCATATGTTCTTTAAATTTAAAAAATGTCAAAATGAATAAATTTAAACCACAATGAAATAATAAAAAAAAAATGAGAAATTTATTTGAAATAATAGACATTTGAATTTGATTATAAAAAAAAAATTAATAAAATTTTTACTAATATATTTAAAAAAGCAATCATATTAGCTGTATATATAGTATAAAATAGGAGTTATGCAACAACCGAAAAAAATATATAAATAATTCATTAGGTATAAAAAAATCGCGGTATTTTTGTTAAAAAATTCAAAAATTAAAAAAAAAATTGTGTTCACTTTGGAAAAAAATAGTGCAGTTGGTCGATTCAACTATAAGGTATGTGCAGGTAAACAGATTATTCATTAAAGTATTATATTTAATGGCCATTAGTGTGTTGCCGGACCAACAATCGTGAATTTAATTGCAACCACTTAATGTGGTTGCGTCGATAACGGTTGTTGAGGAAAATATTCAGTATAATTACTTAACAAAAATATTAATAAACAAGGTAAGAACTATTAGGACTTATGTAAAAAATCACAATAAATTTTACTCAACTTGTAATCCCTAGCGGTATTCCGAGCACAAATGCCCTTAAAATGGGAAATACGTATTATTAGATTATTAGAGAATATTACATCCTACAATTGTACGATTTATTTCTATTATCTCAACTGCTCCACAGGCCATATTTGAAAAAAAAAATTATTAAATATACTGAAAATATGTAAATTATGTGCATATCATAAACGTTATCACAAAAAATAAATTCGATTCTACAGGTACGCACATTTTTTTTTTCCAAAGACCTAAAACCTAAAATTGTAAAACATCAAACTACAATTGTTACAAACCTCAAACACATCAAAAATTTTAATTAATTAACAATGATTTATTAGTTATTCGGTGATATTAATTGGATTTTTTGGTTTTCCCTCTAATTTACGTTTATTTTTAATGCTATTTAATTCATCATTTTTTTTTTATTATTTACTACACACACATAGTTAGTGTTTATTTAATAATAAAATATTTTTGGTTAAAATTTTAATAAATAAAATAAATAATTTGAAAAATTTTAATATAAAAGAAATGAAAATATTGTCAAAAAATATTCAAAATATTTTCTTATGAATTTTTAATTAGTTTTACACCTACATACAAATGTATATCATGCATAAAAAACATTAAAATTTAATGTCATAAAAATTAGGTATGAACCAATAGTTTCAACTAAATTTCTTTGTTGTCTTATGCATACGAAGTCTGAATTAAATTGTAATAAAAGTTCTGAAATTAGAATTTTCTTATACAATGTATAGTTCGCAACTCAATTCTTTATTACTCTATTTTCCAATTTGAAATAATTGATGATGGGGTTGATTGTAGATTGTTGAAGAGAGATATAGGCCAAGGAGCTCCTCCCCTCCGACAACCGTAGCCAACCATGGCTTATTGCAGCTCTCAGTACAACAGTACTGAGAAAGCCCCGCCTAAACAATCTGTAGTTTTTGACAGCCAGATCAGGACAGGTACACAGAATATTTATGGCCGTCTCCTCGTCATCTTGCCAGAATTTACACAGCAGGTAATGGGGTAAGAATGATTCTATATATAGTTCCTCCAACATTTATACTCACTGAATTCGAGCAACTTGTGAAATTTGGAAGATTGCAACTTCGTTGCCAGGAACACGAACACAGTTTACCACTATTTCGTTTTTCCCACTTTCTTTTTTTTCTTACATTTCCCCAAAATATTTGTTTAGTCGTCCTCTCTATAACATTTGAAACCGCGCTTGTATTTAAAACTATCACTTTGTTCTAACTCTTTAAAATCCCTCCTGTGCTCTGATAAACTTTACTTTGATTCTTTTCTTTGTGTTTGAAATACAATCTCTTGATAAATCAAAGTACTATGGCAGTTTAAAATCAAAATCTTTTTAATCAACTTTAATAAAAATATTATGATAAACAAAAATTAGAGACCTATAAAGAATGGTACAGAGAGCAAGACGAGGATTATAATAATTTGTTAGTAATAGAGTTAAAAGGATCTGTTACTTTAAAACAAACCGTATAATATAAATTACCTTAATTTCTTAATAAAAACTTAGTGGAATCTACATATCTGTTAACTGTTTTCAAAAACAATCTGTGCTCCATTACAAAACACTTACCTGCAAGTAAAAAAGAAATACAATAAATATTATTAAAAAAAATATTGTCATATTATGTAGATTTGAAAAATGTTATTAATTTTTTCAAGCAAAAAAAAAATACTGTTTTTTGTTACGAGTGTAAAATAATTTCCTCCTTAAGCTAAAGAAAATTTCCTTTACATTTCCAATAAAAAAAAATTCTTACTGCTTGACCTTTGCCGATAAATACATATAGACTCCTATATGAATAATGTATATTAAAATATATACAAACATATTTTTCAGCATTGACAAAGCGCTAGAATCATTACTGTAAAATCAAAATGTAAATGTAATTTTATTATCGTAAAGAAGAGAGAGAAAAACTGCTATATTTGTTTTAGACATTAAACAGCATTGCAGTAAATTGAATATTACATTTAAAATGAAAATTTTCTCACTATCAAAAAATTTTCTTATGCTTTTATTCTATTTCTTTCCTATGTGTTTATTTAATATTCTTTTCTTTTTTTTAAAACAATAAATCATAAAATTTTTGAAGAAATCTGATCTTAAACGACTTTTTAAACTAAACAATTTTATAAGGTCATTTTAGAATCAATAATTTTAACAAAATAAATAAATAAAAATTTTATAAATTTGTACAGAAATTTATTTTAGAAAAATTGTTCAATTAGAATTATAAAATTTTTGGGAAAAGGTTAGTTAGGATGATTTTGGTATACAAGTATCTAAGATTGGCAGAAGTTAAAAATTTATAGTTTAATAAATTTGTAAATCTAAATGCTCCAACTCTTATAATTATGCGGCTTCTACGGAAAAAATAAAGTGTTTGACAGTGTCTAAAACACCACTAAGATGCAAACTAGTAGCCCATGACAAACTGATTGAGCAAATACTCGTAATGTGCTTTAAATATCATGGTGTCAATATTGCATCATACATAGATGCATTTAAGCTCTGAAAACAAAGATTAGGCAGACAAGGCATCGTTAATCTCTGGATGCTTACGTGACGCCATTTGAAAAAACAAATACTTAAGTACAGCTGAGAAAGTTCGAATATATAAATCTCTTATTCTTGAGCGATTCTAATTTATGCCCATAGAATACCGAGCAGATACCGCAATAAAAAAGCGGCTACTTTGAATCACAGAAATGAAAACTCTACGGCAAACAACTGGTAAAACAGTCAGAGATCAAGTCGGAAGCGCCGATATCAAGAAACAATGTGATGTGCAAGTTGCAGTTCATTAGTCGAGAGAGAAAAGCGTGGTTGGAGTGAACATATAGGAAGAATGGATGAAAATAGGCTTTTTGAAATTGCCTTTAACTATATACTACAAAGTCATCTGGATGTCCACCAAAAATGTGGCGAAATTGCTGCACAAGCCAAACTCAGGAAGGTACTGTTCAAAACAGGGCGTACTCGTAGTCCTTTAATAGGAAGAAACTGGTTATATTAGTCGTATTATAATGCAATACAGGTCTATTATGTTATTATTAATATTATTCCGTCGTTTAAAACATTAAACCTGTTGGCCAGTTCATTTGTAGTAACCAAATTACCGATTTAATCTTATCGTTAATTACGAGAATAAATTTTAATGTGACGAATTTTTAAACTTTTAAAATAAGTTTTAAACTAAAAACTTATCTTGAGAGAGAAACATAAAAAAAAGATACGATACTATGAATGAAAGTCTACTTTGTGTAAATATTTCACGATAACTATGCGTATAAATTTTCTAAAGAAAGCTTTGAGATATTTCAGGAAGAGTTGAAATTATTCTATGTATATGGAAGGCTTTCTTTATAATAGAATTAAAAGTATAGTTTTCAAGAACAGAAAGAAACAAATAAAATATGGGTTAGGTAATACAGTCATACTTACTGAAATTCTTGAGACATTATTTATAATATAATTGAAGTTCACTTTAAAAGGCAAAATTTTATAATAAATAACGTAAGACGTAAAACTGAAAAAAAAAATTGGCACGAGATAATGTAAAAAGTACCCATATGTTTTATTTAGTTCTTGATTTGCTTGCGGCATACATTATTTCTAATAGATTGAGGCTACAAATTTCAAGTCACTTTGTCCTATATCGACATATACATGTACTACGCGTTGGCTCAAACATACGCGGTATGGTTGAAGATAAAGAATCAAGTTTTTATTTAAGATGAGCCGGAGAGTGCCACATATAGTTAAAATATAATTAAATTTACTGATTGTAGGGGATATGATTAAAAAACAATCCGATGTTCACAACTTATTATATTTTGTATCCAGAGAAAAATTACAGATTTTTTCTTTAACAAGCATAAGACCCTACCTCATAAAATATTTTTTTATTAAATGTCATAATAATAATCCAAAAATTTTCGCCAAGCCAAATGTATTCTCATAGTAATAAGTTATTCTGTCATCAATTAGAGTAAAATTTCAAATATAATTAATGGTTTTATTTCAATTGCAATAAATCGAATTTTGTATATACGATACAACTAATAAGAACGTAAAACTCTTATGTATAATCTTTAAAATTATTTTTAATAAACTTACACATAATACCCATATTTTTCAATCATTACTGATATAAATAAATGACAAGAGTATTTTTCTATTTTAATATTATGGAATATATGCTTGTGCATGGAATAAATGGCATTCGCCTGAATAACACTAGTAGTAAACAGATTATTTTCTAATATGAAATGAACGTATGTATGAGTGTACATGGGCGAATGTATGTCAATTATTGGTTCATAATTTTTGTCAATATTTAAACAAAAATTTCTCATTAATGTAAGTTTTCTAAAGTTAAAGACACTTATAATTTTATTTGCTATAGGTTAATTGGATTATTGAAACGAATAAAATTTTATCGTATATTTTATACAAAATATTTTGTGATAATTATATATAGCTATTTATTATAATTTTATTTACTTTTTCATACTTCTACATTGTATATTGTGTATAGTATGAAGAAACTCAAATAAATAAAATAAGTAAAACAAAATGAATAAGTTACTAAATTGAATAACATTCAAAGTTCAATTATATACTCGTATATTATAGATTACGTTTCAGTAATTTCGATAATTATATGTAAAATAGAATTAAAATCATGGCAGTATTGTTCTCATATTGATTTTTCGACATTATGATAGTTTAATTCCGAAAATTGGTTTAAGCTTTTTGAAAAATTTTTATGTTAATAAATATTTCATCTGTTAAAGGAAGCCTTGATATTTGAGGAATACGTCTTACGAAAATATCGCATTCCGGAAACAATTCTCGAAGACAATTGTGAACTTAACAAAATATGAAATTTTTTAAGAGAAATATTGCAATAATTTAATTTATAAGAAGCTTCGAATAAAACTTGTTGAAGAATTTTTTAGTGATATTTTTTTGGTGATACTACAAGTTTAGCATTATATTTGAAAACTTATTTTTCAAACAGCTATTCTAGCATTATGTTTTCACTTTGGAACCTTGAAGATCAATTTTCAAAAATATGTATTTCCTAGCACAAGTGTCACAAAACCTTTCGAAATTTCTCTATTCTTATCCTATTTCTACAACAATAACTTCTGAATATCTCTATTGGTTGTCGACCAAAAATTTTAACCTAAAACAGTCAAAACTAAGAGGCCTACTCAAAAAACCCCTAGTGAGAGCTAACGTTTGCAACAATTTATGTTATTTAAATAGTGTAAGGGCTCGTTCTAATCTTGTCGTTCAAATTACATTTTCTGATCCGATAATTTAATATTAAATTATCAACATTCAGGAATTTTCCTTATTTAAATTCTACTTTTTTCAACAGCATAAACAAATTTAAAGTAGTTATTTGTTTTATTTATAACAACCCCATTCTTAAAATTTATCAAAATATCTTATTGCATATTACCACATATTAAATAATTTATTTATTTATTAAAATGTTATGATTTCAAAATTACTTAAAATCATATAATTTGTGGGTTATAATTTGACATATAATAATTAAGATAAAAATTATTTTAAGAAATCCTGAATGCTGTAATAATTTTATTGCAATTTATAAATATGTATGTACAAACATATTTCTTTCAATAAAATTAAAAAGTAAAAATATTTATAATAAACACTCAAATATTTTGTAGTTAATGAAAGGATAAAAATTACAAGATGATATTATAATTATGATCACATTCACATCACATCAAAATTTTATAATTATTTTTTAAAGAATAAATAAGAATTCATATTTGTATACTCGTATATTTAAATATTATATAGATAACACTATAATGAGTGTATATACCCCACTTAATGTCTAATGTGTGTGAATAATTTTGTTCTTTTAAGAATATTTTTAAGGATTTACTTAAATTAACATTGCCTATATAACTATACATATAACTAGATAATGAAAAATTACTAAAACAAAATTTTTCTTTTCTCCTGTTTTTAATGCGCCTTTCCGCCCGTATACAATCTCTGAGTATTTGAATGAGAAAAATTCATTAGAAAATTACAATATGCTTAAAATCACAACATCTGCAACAAAATATATTGTTCATATATAATAGAAGTGTATATATGCACTCATATGCAGTTGCAATACCTTTAAATAAACTTCATATACACATTCCTTATAAAATATATTTTAAAGAAAAGCCTTTTTAACATAAATTTTTATTATTTAAAGTAATTTTAGTTTAAAATTTTAAAATCTAAATGTTCGTATATACTTTCCTTTTTAAATTATTATTTTGTTTTTTATTCCATAACATATTTTCAAAGAATTCTAAGAAATGTTCCTTTTGCCTTTTTATTTTATTTACTAAATCTAATATATGCATATATAATATTAAAAATATATTGTGTGCATATTTGCATGAATATTTTTTATTGTATATAAAATTATATATATAAATATATATATGTTATATTTGGCACGAGTTTTTAAATTGCATGTATACACATAATATACATACGTATACGTACGTACATACAAT